TTGGGTAAATTACAGAGTATCACTTAAATACGAAATTAACTCTCCAAAGTACTACAAAGAACAAATATGGTTGGGCAAGAGTCTAACTCATCAACTGCTTCCAAACAGCAAGGCTCTGGTTTTAATGACATAAAAGTGTCAAAACCACTCTATAGCTTTTAAACTGCCTGACTACAATTATCTCCTTAATGGTAGTGATTTTTTTCGTAAGATACTAAAATAACACATCATTCTAGGAAAGAATTTATTTTCTCACTGTTAACAATAACCATTTCAGTACATTTATAATACAATATATACTATCAGTTAGAAATAAAACATTGGTTTCACACTTCTAAAAGAGCAGGAAATATAACATGTAGAATGGATAGCAACTATTACTACTGCTATGACCACCACAGTCTGAAATTCAAGTTATTTTATTATACTTGATTTTCAACTACTGAAGTGATGACAATAGGAAGAGAGGGTGAAAAATCTTAAGACCTAATATCCCATATATATTTTCTCTTTATTTTATGTAATGCAAACAGTACAGAGAGGAAACTAATGTGAGGGAGGGTTCTGTGATCATAAAAAAATAGTGCAAATGTTATTTGTGTAAAAAATATGACAAATACATTTTAAGAGTACCAAAATGTCTGTGTCTTTATGTAAAGAAACAGCACTTCAAATTTAACTTAAAAATAGATTTTGAACCTTCCAAACAGAAATTTCTCTATATTGAGAGAAAATAACTATATCATTTTTTAACTTTGATACTTTTTTTTAAAAAAAGGAGTATGTATTTTAAAAGTGCTAAATTGTTAATAATTCAATAAAACTATCTTCTTTTTTAAAAAAACCCAAACCCCAAAATCAAAGGGACTATTTTTAGACTGAAGCAATATGACAAAGGTAATCAATAATGATCCCTTAATTCAGATGTAAAAATATTAGACATTCCATAGGAAACAGATGGGAAGTCCATCTCTTTTTACAAGGATTTACAGTTTTCAAAATCCAATGGACGTCTGCTGTAAGTCTAAACTGACTAAACAGCACAAGGTTTTCATGGTTTGGTTTTGTTATACCTATCTGTGACTATGTGATAGACACATTTGTCAATATATTGTTTAAATAATTATAAGCCATCAGTATAAAAATTAATAAATGGTATTTCTAAAGTCACTTTTAGGTCTACTTCCTTATTTCAGATAAATATACATTAGATAGATAGATAGATAGATAGATAGATAGATAGATGATAGATAGATAGATAGATAGATAGATAGATAGATATAAGACAGACAGATAAGATAGAGAGAGATCGATCTAGATATCTAGATTATAAGATTTTGACTCCAAAGACAAAGATAATTCATGTGTATTTTCACATGATTTAAATACTCTGAAAACTGTTGTTGTGTACTTTTGAGTGTATCTTACTCCTGACAGCTGATCCTGCAGTGGGTTTTCAGACGCAGTAAACTGCACAGGAGCAGACTGCCCATCCTTCTCCGTTAGAGCGGCTAGTGGATTTGACCCACCATGTGCCTTCCAGGCTGACAGCATGGCACCTCACAACAAAGATATCAGAGCTCCCACCAAAAACTCTAGTTGAGTTCAAAAATTTATCAAAACAACTGAAAAACAGATAAAATTAGGATTGGTGGACGATTTATCAACAACCTGCGTTATGCGGATGACACAACCCTGCTTACTGAAACTGAAGAGGACCTGAAGCGCCTGCTGCACAGTGTCAAGTACTGCAGCCTACAATATGGATTGAGGCTCAATGTCAAGAAGACAAAGATTCTCACCACTGGACCAATTGGCAGCATCAGGATGGATGGTGAAGAGATT